CTTACTGACAACAATGTGACTGAAGAAATACTTCCTAACATCCCAGTGATTCATCTAAATCTTCAACTTCCAATTGTGACCCCTTGTTGCTGTGTCCCATCTCTGGAACATCCTGTCTCTGTCCACCTTGTCGATTCCTCTCAGTATTTTGTATGTCTTTATCATATCTCCCCTATCTCTCTTGTCCTCCAGCTTTGTCAGCTTGATTTCCCTTAACCTCTCCTCGTACGACATACCCCTTAGCTCCGGGACCAGTCTAGTTGGAAACCTTTGCACTTTCTCTAGTGTCCTTACGTGCTTAGCTAGGTGTGGGTTCTTAAGTTTGCTATAAACTCGTAAGTTGCCGCAGTTATTTGGTTGATGTGCGTCTGAGATGTGCCCGGTGTTATACTCAGCACAAGGTCCTTTTCCTTGAGTAAGGTTTGTAGTTTCTACCACCCTAGACTGTACTCTGTCTGTGGTCTTCTTTGTCCTTTCCCAGTCTTCATGACTTTGCAGTTGGTGGGGTTGAACTCCAGGAGCCAGTTGCTGGACTAGGCGTGCAGTCTCTCCAGATCCCTTTGTAGTTCTGTCTGGTCCTCGTCCGATTGAATTCTTCTCATCAACTTCACATCATCTGCAAACAGCGACACTTCGGAGTCTATTCTTTCCCTCAAGTCTTTCACAAATATCAGAAGCAGCACCGGTCCTAGGACTGACCCCTGTGGAACCGCGCTCGTCGCAGGTGCCCACTCTGACGCCTCGCCACGTACCATGACCCTCTGTTGTCTTCCTGATAGTGCCTTCCCTGCCATCCCTGTCTGGTCCTCTAGTTCTTGCACTCATTGGTATTGGTATAGATATGTTTTTTTTTATTCTTGTATACCAATCATTGGTATTTGTATAGATGTGTTTTCCTATTAAGGGCTCTGGTGGCCTGGTGGTTAACGCTCTCGCTTCACACGGTGAGGGCCTGGGTTCGATTCCCAGCCAGAGTAGAAACATTGGACGTGTTTCTTTCCACCTGTTGTCTATGTTCCCCATCAGTAAAATGGGTACCTGGGTGTTAGTCGACTGGTGTGGGTCGCATCCTGGGACACTGACCTAAGGAGGCCTGGTCAAAGACCGGGCCGCGGGGGCGTTGACCCCCGGAACTCTCTCCAGATAAACTCCAGAAACTCCAGAATATATGATATTACATGTAATTGATTACATTATTTGTTGAGATGTAATATAACACATCGTATTTGTTATATTTGGATGCTTTCATCGTCGATTCATTAATACATATGTCTATGTTGGTGTGTATGAGTGTGCTTGTGTGTGTGTGTTATTGTGTGTGTTGGTTTTATAACACAATGATTTATTATACAGTCTATATACTTACCCATGTGTGCTTGCCATTTGTATATACAACATAGTTAGACATGTTCTTTAATAATGTATAATGTGTTTGTTTATTATGTGGACGGATCTTGTTAATGTAATTTGACTACAGGAAATACTTTATAACCAATGTTAGAAATCAAACTGTTCCATATTGACATAATGTACGAATTGCACTTGTAGTTTGTTTTGTAAGCAGTTATAACCTTTACCATTTTAAGTTTAGGGAACAGATGTATCATTGTAGTTTATGCTTCATATTCTTACGTGTTGGAAGATTCATACTTTTGGATAGTATTATAGATGTGTTAGGGTTAACTTAATTTATTGTGCACTCTTGTGGTTCTGATTTTATGTTGTACTTTTCAGATAGGGGGAGGTTCTGTCTGGGGAAGGGGGGGTTCTGTCTGGGGAAGGGGGGGGTTCTGTCTGGGGAAGGGGGGGTTCTGTCTGGGGAAGGGGGGTTCTGTCTGGGGAAGGGGAGGTTCTGTCTGGGGAAGGGGGGGTTCTGTCTGGGGAAGGGGGGGTTCTGTCTGGGGAAGGGGGGGTTCTGTCTGGGGAAGGGGGGTTCTGTCTGGGGAAGGGGGGGTTCTGTCTGGGGAAGGGGGGTTTCTGTCTGGGGAAGGGGGTTTCTGACTGGGGAAGGGGGGTTTCTGTCTGGGGAAGGGGGGGGTTCTGTCTGGGGAAGGGGGGTTCTGTCTGGGGAAGGGGGGTTTCTGACTGGGGAAGGGGGGTTTCTGTCTGGGGAAGGGGGGTTTCTGACTGGGGAAGGGGGGTTTCTGTCTGGGGAAGGGGGGTTCTGTCTGGGGAAGGGGGGTTCTGTCTGGGGAAGGGGGGGGGTTTAGTTTGCAGGTTTACGGTATATAACATACTGTGCTCTTTTGACTTAGTACCTTATGACGTTAAGTCATAGTACAGAATATCTGGCTTTACTTTTGATTTAGTTAGTGCGAAAGTTTGTATCAATTCTCTCCTTAATTTGGTTACTGTTTGTGTTTTCATTAGATAATATTTGTTACATGATGTATAATTATTTATATTTGTATGTGGTATTATATGGCCATGGAAAGTTTAGTACATTTGTTGACGGATAAGGCCTGTTTGTTATTTTTTATGTGCTGTGATGTACTTTTTAAATAAAATATGAAAAAAAAGTTCTTGCACTAGTCTCTTGTGTGGAACTGTGTCAAACGCTTTCTTACAGTCCAAGAAAATGCAATCTATCCACTCCTCTCTTTCTTGTATTACTGCTGTCACCCTGTTACAGAACTCCAGTAGGTTTGTGACACAGGATTTCCCGTTCCTGAAACCGTGCTGGCTGTCTTTGATAAGCCCATTCCTTTCTAGGTGCTCCACCACTCTTCTCCTGACGATCTTCTCCATGACTCGGCATACTATACATGTCAGTGACACTGATCTGTTGCTTAGTGCTTCGTGTCTGTCTTCTGTTTTAAAAGTTGGTACTACATTTGCTGTCTTCCATACGTCAGGTAGTCGACCTGTGTGTGTGTGTGTGTGTGTGTGTGTGTGTGTGTGTGTGTGTGTGTGTGTGTGTGTGTGTGTGTGTGTGTGTGTGTGTGTGTGTGTGTGTGTGAGTGTGTGTGTGTGTGTGTGTGTGTGTGTGTGTGTGTGTGTGTGTGTGTGTGTGTGTGTGTGTAGAAGAGGCAAAAAAAAAAAGCCTAAATTTTTATTAGGCGTTTATTCTCATCCAGTGTGACGTGTCTCACCCTCACTCACAACACATGAGGCCTATGTCTCACCCTGACTCACAACACATGTGGCCTATGTCTCACCCTGACTCACAATACATGTGACCTGTCTTACAGTGTTGCCATGTGTAATTACTGTTCAACCTCCTTATAATAAACCCCCAACTATAACGAACTATTTAGGAAGATTCTCAGTGTATCCATCAAAAAATGTTGAGAAATAGCACAAAGCTTCACCAACGTATTTTACTCTATACTAATGTAACTCTATACATAGAGTTTCCTGATATATTGCAATCTGCAATGAATAATAATTATTTGCAACTCAATTATAATTGAGTTGCAAATTTAATTTACCCAGTGGATTTTTTTTTTATTTCAGAAGTTCGTTATATCGAAAGTTTGTGCAGAATTCGCTAAAACCGGTTCATTTTGTTTTTATTTAGTAAGTTTTTTTTTTTACTTTTTCTCAGTTATGTGATGTTTAGTTATGTGATGCTTATTTGTGTGTTCTTTAGTTATGTGTTCCTTAGTTATGCGCTCCTCCTCGGAAATTATGTGATTCTTGTTTTGGTTCAGTATCAGTGTGAAGGTGTGACGCCTCTCTCTCTCTCTCTCTCTCTCTCTCTCTCTCTCTCCTCTCTCTCTCTCTCTCTCTCTCTCTCTCTCTCTCTCTCTCTCTCTCTCTCTCTGTGAGTGGTGGGCGAGACGTTGTTTATTTTGCCTTCTGCCAGAACACTGTATCATCCATAATTTTTTTTTTAGCAAGTCGGCCGTCTCCCGCCGAGGCAGGGTGACCAAATACCATTTGTCTCCATTCACTCCTATCTAACACGCTCACGCACGCTTTCTGCAAGTCCAAGCCCCTCTCCCACACAACCTCCTTTACCCCCTCCTTCCAACCTTTTCGAGGACGACTCCTACCCCACCTTCCTTCCCCTACATATTTATATGCTCTCCATGTCATTCTACTTTAATCCATTCTCTCTAAATGACCAAACCACCTCAACAACCCCTCTTCAGCCCTCTGACTAATACTTTTATTAACTCCCCACCTTCTCCTAATTTCCACACTCCGAATTTTCTGCATAATATTTACACCACACATTGCCCTTAGACAGGACATCTCCACTGCCTCCAACCGTCTCCTCGCTGCTTCATTTACCACCCAAGCTTCACACCCATATAAGAGTGTTGGTACCACTACTTTCATACATACCCTTCTTTGCCTCCATAGATAACGTTCTTTGTCTCCTCATATACCTCAACGCACCACTCACCTTTTTTCCCTCATCAATTCTATGATTAACCTCATCCTTCATAAATCCATCCGCTGACACGTCAACTCCCAAGTATCTGAAAACATTCACTTCTTCCATACTCCTCCTCCCCAATTTGATATCCAATTTTTCTTTATCTAAATCATTTGATACCCTCATCACCTTACTCTTTTCTATGTTCACTTTCAACTTTCTACCTTTACACACACTCCCAAACTCATCCACTAACCTTTGCAATTTTTCTTTAGAATCTCCCATAAGCACAGTATCATCAGCAAAAAGTAACTGTGTCACTTCCCATTTTGTATTTGATTCCTCGTAATTATTATAATTAATTATTATTGTTATTATTATTATTATTATTATTATTATTATTATTATTATTATTATTATTAGTAGTAGTAGTAGTAGTAGTAGTAGTAGAAGCGTAGTAGTAGAAATAGTAGTTTTTAGCACTGTTGGCATACTCACGCACATGAGGGCGTGCACACACACACACACACACACACACACACACACACACACACACATATACACACACACACATACATCCATACATACACACACATACACACACACACACACACACACACACATACGCACACATACACACACACACACACACACACCTACATACATATGCACACACACACACACACATCCGAGAAAGAACGCACATACGCTAGCGATCACAAGTAACACACAACATTAGATAAACATTTAGAATTCCATGATAGTGATCCCAAATCTTTATTAATATCGGTTGTCATAACAACAACCATGTCCTTAGCTCAGTCATTCCACGGGTGAGTTGGGAATACTGCAGCCCTGCATGCTATCTTGGAGACAATGGAATGTACTTACAACTGACGGAACACGGTCAGCCTGGCCGGTCAGAGACAATGCCGCAATTAGTTGACGGAGGATCGAGCCTTCACCACTCCCTGCACTGAATGATTAACGTGGTTTTAACACTTCATAAAATACAACCATTGTACACTTACCTCTGACAATGCGTAGCTTGAGGCGTCCCTGGTGAAGGAAGGCGTAAGGTAGGTGCAGCTCCCGGCCCTGTGTCATTATCTTGACGCCCTTCTTGCCACAGCTCACGGCTGTGCCCTCACCCCAGTACCCAGAGTCTGGCCCCTTCGTGGAGGATTCGCTGCTGCAACTGTCTCCTGACGACCACGTCAGCGATGACAACAGGTATGGAGGCAGCGGGGAAGGGTACTGGGAGTTTAGGGGGGGCAAGTCGAGGTATGGTATGGGTTCCTCGCTTGTCTGACCCATACTTCGTTTATTGTTGTGGTCTTCCTGAGTGATTTGCGAGCACTCGTCTCGCACGGTGTCGAGCACACTCTGGGGAATACTGTCACTGAAGACTCCGTTGGTCAGTTGATCTTGTGACCAGGAGAACGCCTCGTGTAGAGGGTTCTCCATCACCGTCCAGGTAGTGTCCTCCGTCTCCAGGTAGTTGGTGGTAGGTGTCAGGTCTTCAGGAAATGTGTCACCTGGCGTCTGGACTCTTTCCGAGAGTCCAGGCGTCGTGTACATGTCTCCCTTCTCGCTCTCCTCTTTGACTATGTTTTCCTCAATGTTGAGCCCATTACTAAGTCCCATCTGACAGTCATCATGTCGCTGGTTAGGTTCCCCCACTTCCAGTTTACCGTCAAACTGCCGTGATCTGTTACTCTGCTCCTTCATGCACTTGGATAGAGGTTCGCTCTCGTCACGAGTTCGCTCTCTAAATCCTCCAAAATTGTCGCAGTCTTCAGGTAGGTCGAAGGTCACAGAGTGTCCCGCCGAATCGGACCTTTTGCTCCTAACCTGACCTCTGTGTTTGAGGTTTGACCTGAGGTTAGTAACACCAGACATGATTGCGGCAGCTGCAGCAACAGGCAGAGCGGGTCGTGTGTTGTGAGTGGGGAGAAGAGGCGACGAGATGTCTGCCATACCCGGGGTCGATGCCGAGAGCCTCCCGTCAGAAGAACTCGTTACTTCCTGGAGGCAACTGGGCGCCGAGTCACTCATCCCAGCCACCAAGTCTGGCCCACCGGAGGTCACCACCGCTGTGTAGTCCGTGCGGAAGGTCATACAACTGTTGGTCAGCTCGCAGAATCCACGTGGAGTCCCACTGAATATGTTACTGCTACCGCTAGTCACCTGAGTTGAATCGTGCATGTGAAGGTTAAGATGAAGTTGAAACTCCGTCGTTGACGCCCTCGATGGCGATTCTTCATCTTTGATATTAGAACTTCGCAAACTAGAGCTGTGGATAACTTTCCCTCCCTCATTCCCTTGAAGGTGGGAATATTCTTTGTTGGTTCTTACAGCCTCGCTACCTGGCGGCAGGTTGATTTTCCTTCGGGAGTTGGACCGCCGTATAGCCTGCATTGAAAGCCTCCTGTGTAATGACATCCTCGAAGTTCCAGGGTCACTAGGATGCCCTGGAAGAGAACTACGTCTCGAGCAAACCCTTGTGGCTTTCCTTGCTCCATTCTCTTCGCTGACAGAATTATCTCCTATTCTACTAGCTGCTGCTACACGATTAATTCCATCTTCAGAGGTTAATCTTCCCGTGTCCTCATTTTTTGTCAGTACAGCCGCAGGAGACTTGCTCTGCTGATCTACAATTTTAGTTCCTTGGTGAGGAGATAGTGTCCTCAACTCAGCACATACAAGAGGACTGGGGTTAGGATATTGCAGAAGAGTAGCCGCGAGAGTGCAAGGCTCGGGAGATGATGCCTTTAACTGTGTATCCACAAATGAGTTAGGAGTTTTATAGGGTTGTTCCAGGATATTACCCGCTAGGGTGTCAGCCCCGCGACAAGGGTGGTCCAGGTTAGTAACCTCATCACTGCAAGGGTCAGGAGATGATAATTTTAACTGAGTGCCTATAAAAGAAGCAGAGCCGGGGGAAGAATGAGTAACGTCAGGTTTGCCAGCGTCTGGAGACGGTAATTTCAGGTGATCACTTTCGTGAGTGCTTGGAGCTTCCTGCTTTAAATGAGAGACTGCAAGAGTGCCAAGTGCAGGGAACTGGCGCTCCAGTAAAGTACCCAAATGACTGCCAGGATCAGGAGATAACTGCTTCAACTGAGTGCCTTCATGGGTGCCAGGAGATAACTGCTTCAGGTTAGTACCCA